AGATGTGTATAAGAGACCTATGTTGATGCTCTGACCGACTGAGTTACAAAGTGCGACAGTTATTACAAAGTTCGAAGATTATTACAAAATGCGACGCAAACAGGTGCAGATGAGTAAATTTTAAGAATTTGAGACTTTATTGATGCCCGAAAACGGATACTTAAAATTTATGAAAACTATCACCACCCACATCAGCCACCATGGTTCAGGCTGAGTTTACAGATACAAAAACTACCAAATCCACCTGAGGCCCGGTTTGGGACCAGGAAAAAAATAAGAATTTGAGACTTTTAGATGCCGGAAATGGCACTTTGATGCATGAAATCTACAAAAATTACTCTATCCACCAGAGCCTCATCATGTTTGAGGCTGAGGTGGGAAAATCTTAAGAATACGGGACTTCAATTCTAGATACCGGTACCGAAAATGATACTTTAATGAAAATTTACGTCAGTTATTTGTAAACATTTAAAGATAGGCATTTTAAATTTGTTCAACCTCTTCCCATCCCACCCCCGAATACGCAACTTGTGACAGAACTGTTAAACATTTCTTTTAAATCATATCAGCGATCGATTCATAAACAGAATATTAGCCAGGGGCGGATACAGGATTTAGCATAAGGGGGGCGCCAAAGTAAAGATGGACGACCAGCCAAGATACGAAGCACCGAGGGCATGGGCGGATGCAGCCTGTCAGAAAAAAAGGTGGGGGTGTAATCTGCGAGCGAAGCGAACAGCCTTAGGCTGGGGGCCAGGGGGCCGCCGAGGGCCCCGGGCGGGGTCCAGGAGCAGAGCCACTGGTGGGGGTGCAAGGGGGCGAAACCCCCTTGAAGCCCAGCACATTTGATGAATATGAGGTTGTATTGAGTCGATTTTGGATATCTAACATGGTAGTTTTCATTAACAAATAAATAAAAAAAATAATAATGTATGTCTTTTAAAAGAAATTTTAATATACAGGGTACCTGCAAAATGCAACTATGACATGTGTCATTAAATTAGTAATAATTCATCTACTCACAAAATAATCTTTGACAACATACTAAGGCTCATAAATGTACACCATTTCAAAAGAGAAATTTAACTTCTAGAAAACATGATGAAGTTTCTCAGCAACATTGAACATAAAAATCACAAAATCAGCAAAAAGGAAAACTAATATCCAAAATCCGTTAAAAAAGTCGTCAAACAACAAAATCCGCTACTGTATATTAACACTGAGTAAATTACAAGTGTTCTATTTGCCACCAAGTGGATTTATGAATAGAACTCTCCTAGGGTGTTTTTGTTAGGAAAAGAAGACTTAAAAACTGTGGGTGTAATTTTTCTTTGCC